CCTCCTCTTTTTGCTGAGGAAGATTGACCCTGGGCTAATATCCGTGCCCATCTTCCTCTACTTTACATGGGACGCTGCCACAGCATGGCTTGATAAGCGGTGTGTATGTCCCCGCCTGGGATCAGAACCTGCGAACCCTGGGCTGTTGAAGCGGAACGTGCACGCTTAACTGCTACACCACCGGGCCAGCCCCTCACTCTCATTTTTTAAATATTTCTTATTTGCCACACTGATTTGATTTATGTCCTTTGTAATGCATTCTATATATGAGGTCTTTATATTTTTATCAGTTCTGTAGGATTATTTGTCTATTACCCTGATTTTCTATTCTCAAAAATAATTCTGTGCTATTTTATTATTAAGAATACATAATATTCTGTCTCTGATCATTATTTTTTATTTTCAAAATTTCTTTTCTATTCTTATCTATTTTCTTCCTTCCAATTAAATATGCAAAGATTTTATTAAGTTCTGAAACATTCTTTGGGCATTTTATTTATGGTGCATTAAGTATCAAATAACCTGAAGAAAACACATTTCTATTACAATTGTGCGTCTGTTCTTTCAGGAATATGTTATGTCTTATATAGAACAAATTCAAGTCTTCATCAGGCGAGTGTTGAAGTTTTCATTATATAGTCTTTACTCATTTATTGTGAAATACCGAGGTATTTATATTTAGTATAAATTGATATTTTTACTCAAATTCTATATTATGTCTTATTGATATATTTATAAAAAAGCAATTGATTTGTATTTATCTATTTATAACCAACCTATTTGTTGAAATCTTTATTTTTTCAATATTTTTTAAGTTGAATCTTGTGGGCTTCATAAGTATGTCATCAAATAATGATAATTTTGTCCTAGTAGCTTGCAATCGGATTTTTGTTTCCTGCCTTATTGTGTAAGATAAAATGATTACAGTTGTATCAAGTTTGGAGGGTAATAGTAGGCATCGTTTTCTTGACTTTAATGGTAATGCCATTACAGTTTCATTTCTCAATAGTTTTGCTGCTTGTTAGAGGTAGTTATTCTACCTCGTTAGAGAAGAGTCTTTTTATTCCTGCTTTACTAGATAGGTAGGTAGATAGATACAGAATGGTTTTCAATTTTGTCAAATATCTTTTTGGTGTCCATTGAGAGATCGTTTAAAAATTTTATAAAGGCTCATTTGTAAGATGTATTATCCCAGTAACCTTCCTCATACAAAAAGTTGCTTTTCCCTGTTTAACAATGCTACATTATTCTTTTACTATACTATGAAAATCAGTTTGTTGATATTTTTGGGAAAATAAGACTCTGAGACTGTTGGATGTTTCTCATATTTTAGTGTCAAAGTTATTTTAGCTCTTTCTCTGTGCTAGAGAAATTTCTACTTCTAAAGAAGATTTGGAAATTTCTCTTTTCCTAGCAAATTATCAAATTTATTGGTATTTTAGCTTTATTCCTGTAGAATCATGCATAGTATTCTTTTTTTAACCTATTTCTGAATATTTTATTTCATTTCCAGTTTCTATCTGTATTTTTTAGCTTTAAGTATAAATGACAACAAAATTGTATATATTTCAGGTGTACAACTTGATGTTTTGATATAGGTATACATTGTGAAATGATCACTATAATGAATCTTGTGAACATATCCACCACCTCACATAGTTACCTTTTATTTGTCATGAGAACACTTAAGATTTACCCACTTAGAAAATTTCATGTATATGATTCCATATTGTTAATTATACTCACCATGCTGTACATTAAATCTCCAGAGTTTATTCATCTTACATAACTGAAACTGCATCCTTTCACCAACATCACCCCATTTCCCCAATCCTCCAACCCTTGGCAACCATTAATCTACTCTGTGTTCTATGAGTTTGGCTATTTTAGATTCCACATGTAGGTGAGATTGGACAGTATCTGTCTTTCTGTGTCTGGCTTATTTCACTTGGCATAATATCTTTCAGGTTCATCCATGTTGTTGCAAACAGCGGAATTTATTTCTTTTTAAAGGATGAATAATATTCCATTGTATATTTTCTTTATCCATTCATTCATTGACAGACATTTAGGTTCTTTACCATGTCTTGACTGCTGTGAATAAAGCTGCAGTACACATGGGAGTGCAGATATCTCTTTGAGATACTGATTTCATTTCCTAGGATATATGCCCAGGATTAGGATTATTAAGTCATATGGTAGCTCTATTTTTAATTTTTTGAGGAGCCTTCATAATAGTTGTGCAATTTACATTCTCAGCAACAGTGTATGAAGGTCCCTTTTTCTCCAACACTTGTTATCTTAGGTCTTTTTGATAATAGCCATTCTAACAGGTTTAAGATGATATCTAATAGTGGTTTTGATTTGCATTTCCGTGGTGATTAGTCATGTTGAGCACTTTTTCATATACCTTTTGGCCTTTTGTATATCTTCTTTGAGAAATGTTCTTTTCTCATTTTTTAATTGAGTTATTTATTTTTTTTTTTGCAGTTGAGTTGTAGGTGTTCTTTATATATTTTCGATATTAAGCCCTTATCAGATATATAGTTTGCAAATTTGTTTTGCACTTCATAGGTTGCCTTTTCACTTCATTGATTATTTCATTTCCTATTTCAAAAAGAAGCTTTTTAGTTTGATGCAATCTCATTTGTCTATTTTTCCTTTTGTTGCCTGTGCTTTGGGTAGTGTCATATCCAAACTCATTGCCCAGACCAATGTCAAGATGCTTTTTTATTAGGTTTTCTTCTCGGGGTTTTATAGTTTCCGGTATTACATTTAAGTCTTTAATCCATTTTGAGTTGATTTTTTTATCTGGTGTGAGATAGGAGTCCAGTTTCATTCTTCTGTATGTGGATATCTAGTTTTCCCAGTACCATTAATTGAAGAGACTATCCTTTTGTGGATAGTCACAACTATCCCTGTTGTGTTCTTGGCACCCTTGTAGAAGATCAGTTGACCATCAGTGTGTGGATTTATTTCTGTGATCTCTATTCTGTTTTATTGATCTATATGTCTGTTTTTATGCCAGTACTATACTGTTTTGATTACTATAGCTTTGTAACATATTCGAAATCAGGAAGCATGATGCTTCCAGCTTTGTTCTTCTTGCTCAAGATTGCTTTGGCTATTTGGGGTTTTTGTGGTTACATATAAATTTTAGATTTGTTTTTTCTATTTCTGTAAGGAACACCATTGGAATTTTGATGGGGATTGCATTGAATCTTTAGATCACTTTGGGTAGTATGGAAATTTTAACAGTATTAATTCTTCCAATCCTTGAACGCAAGATGTCTTTCCATTTATCTGTGTCTTCTTTATTGTCCTTCATCAGTATTTTGTAATTTTCAGTGTACAAATCTTTCACCTCTTTGGTTAGGTTTCTTCCTACGTATTTTCTTCTTTTTGTTGCTATTCTAAATGGGATTCTTAATTTCCTTTTCAGATAGTTCACCATTTATGTATAGAAACACCACTGATTTTTGTATGTTGATTTTGTATCCTGCAACTTTGCTGAATTTCTTTATTAGTTCTAATCAGTTTTTGTTGTTGTTGTTTAGTCTTTAGGATTTTCTACACATATAATCATGTCATCTGCAAATAGAAATAATTTCACTTCTTCTTTTCTGATTTGGATACTTTTATTTTTCATGTCTAGCCAGAAAGCTCTGGCTAGGACTTTCAGTACTATATTGAATAGTAGTGGTGAGAGTGGACATCCTTGCCTTGTACCTTTACAGATCTGGAGCCAAGTCCATAGAAGGGCAGGGCTGCTTCCAGGACTGCAGGCAAGACCACAGTTGGCCGGCCAACCACTGGAGTGCAGGCCTGCCTTCTTCCTAAAACATCTTTCTTCAGTCTTGGACTCCACCAGGGTTTCACCTCCTGGATCCCAAGGCTCCCACAAAGGCACTTTTGTTTATGGGTGGCTGCCAACCTGTTGTTTCTGTCGGGGGACAAAGGCTAGGGATCTCCTGATCCCCCATCTTGCTGACATTACTCCCTCTAACTATCTGTATTTATAAATTTTTTTCTTTTTCCCTAATCAGATTTACCAGGAGATTACTTTTCCCTCCAATAAATAAATAAACAAACTGAATATTTGGTTTAATTATTAGTTCTATTTATTTTATTAATTTGTTAAGTTCTATACTTATATATAATAATTTTCTAAACTAACTGTATTAAGATTGCTTTTTATTTTTGATAAATTTGTGACAGCATAGAGTGATTACTGAGGGAAAAAAAGATAATCACTAAAATATTTCAAACAACCCAGAATAAAGTTGTATTCCATAAATGATGGTAGAGAAGGTTGTGTAATTATTTTTTTTCTCACTGCAGTGCCCACCAAGAGGGTTTCTTCTAAATCCAGCTTCAAGATTAACATAGGCCACTTTTGGCAACAGATTAACTCAGAATGACATAGGACAGGAAATATATCTTGCCAACAGGGCAGTGTTGGTTATTTCCCTTCCATGAGTGTTGTACTTGCAGCATTCATTTAGAATATAGGTCATGAGCAAGGAGATGACACCCATATTGGGTGGGTACTAAAGCCTACCTGGCTTAGAAACCTAATAACCCAAAGAAGCCAATATCTCTTATAACAACCCCAAAAGCATAACTTCCAGGGTCCTCAAAGAGACAGACCCAGTTACAAGAATTTCCACTCTCAAAGAGGCTCAAAGACGTGGCTTCTCTTCATGCATTTATTGTTCTCTCAGTCCAGGAGACATTACTGCTCAGGGGTCATTTTACTTATAAGCATTGTGTCCTGGAAACATAGTTAACATTCCAACCTTATCATGTTTCCAGGAGAACAGAGCTATAAGTTAACCTAAAGCCAAATTCTCATTCAGAATAGGTGTTTGGAAATATAGGCCTTATTATTTTTTGCACAATTAAATATATACCAATGTAATATTTTTTATCCTGTCTATATAACTTAAAATTTCAACCTTAAATCTTATTTTCTTCTTTTGTTCTCTCTATTTTCACAGGTAAAATTTGGAAATTATGCTTTTGTATGGGATGCAGCTGTATTGGAATATGTGGCTATCAATGACCCAGATTGTTCCTTTTACACCATTGGGAATACTGTTGCTGATCGGGGATATGGAATTGCATTGCAACATGGCAGTCCTTACCGGGATGTTTTTTCACAAAGGTAAGATTTATGTGGGTCCAAATAAGAAGAGAGGAAATACAGAAAAAGAAAATCTACTTGGTTGCCCCATTTAACTTGATACATTTTGTTTTCTTTGTTTGGAGAACCACAATAAACAATAACAAAAAAAGATAGTTATAAGTGTGGTTCCATAAGATATTCATTTCCTAAAGAATGTACTGATGTATTATTTTTGCCATAAAAAGGGAAAACCTTGCTGCATATAACTTATTTCATAGTCAAAAAATTGATATACAAAAGAAAGTAGTATGTTAATAATTTCTTTAGAGCTTAGTTGAGTAGTTTAGTCTTTGAATTTTTAGGGACTAAAATTAGTCAGAGTTAGCAACATTAATTCATTTCTAAGAACACTAAAGCACAAAATAAACTTCAGGACCAAGTCAAGTTTCTGCTGTACTGAAGCACATGATGATAGGGAGGTGTCCATTTGATTTTTCAAAAGGAAAAGGGTCAGAATTGTAGAGTCTCTCACTTGGTGTTAAAGTTTATATGAGACTTTGTCATGGAAATTAAGGAGACGGTTTATTAAGAAATTATACCCATCCTCAAATCAGAATTTTCTATTATAAGTTGTTTAAGAAAGATGTTTTGTAATGTATCTTTTAAATTAACAATGTATATGGAAGAGTTGGCCCTGAAAGGAATTCACAAAGATCACTGCGTTCGTCCTCTGTGCTAAATAAGCTGGGGCCCGAGAGAGAGGAGTATCTGTCAGGTGGAGCTATACTCCATTGAACACTGATAATAAGTTTTGTGTATTTTCTAGATATTCTTCTACCTACTTTCAAAAGCTAATGCCAGACCAAGAAGGCAGTTCCAGGTAGCCCTAAGGCCCCAAATTTCAGACTATTTAAGTTCTATTCCTCCAAATTTTAGGATAACAAAAAGTCAGGCATTTTATGTTTAAAAACAAAACAAAACTAAGTCAGTAGTCCAGAATTTATCACTTTTCCATTAGCTAACTAAAAATCTAGGCATCTCTACTTATCTGCAAAAGAGGAAGTTAGATTAACTCTAAGGTCCTGGTTCAGTCAGCTTTTCTATACAGCAAAAACCCCAAAGTATTGGTGACTTTTAAAAGTTATTTCTCATTCTTGAAACATAGGGCTGGGATTTGGCTAAGTTCTGCTGCAAGTTGTGGGTCCACTGCAGGTCCCATCTATGCAGCTTCTCATTGCAGGCCACAGGCTGATGAAGCAGCCCTACCCGGGACTTACCGTTTTCATTGCAAAGAGCATTTGCAAAAGAGGCTGGCCAAAACCTGCAGTGCCTCTTGTGCTTCTTGCATAGATGTGGCATATGTCACATCTGCCCAAAGACCACTAATGAAAAAAAGTCTCCTGGCCAAGACCAAAATCAATGGGGTGGGTAAGTGCACTACACAGAATGGGAAGAAAAGAGTAAATCATTATGAACAATAATACGATCTACCAGTGGTCCCTTCTGGCTTAAAAACTTCTAAGTATAAGACAAAAATGAAATATGCATAAATTGGGAAGTAAAATATTAAGGAGTAAATAATGATTCGTCAACCAAAACACATTTATAGATGAGTAGATTCTAAGGCGAACAAACTGGAAAATCAATTACGCCATAGGGACTTTACCTGCGAGGCATCTGCAGTCTAGTTGGAGATTCAAGACCCATGTCCACGAAGCAGTGAACAATACAGATATTTCTATAAATGTTTGCTAGCATTTGCATGCATACAGTATCAATATTGCTTATTTATATTGTGTTAAATTATGTAGTTGAGACGTTGAAAGAATTGAATACCATACAGAATAAGGAGTTAATGAAAGGAAACATGAATGAAAGCTCTCCAGAGAAGGTGAGCCTTGAACTTGACCTTGAAGGATTAGTAGAGAATAGGTAGACTGAAAGAAAAACATGGATAATTCTTGGAGAAACAGTTAAGACAACAGAGTAGAAGTAGGAGAGAGGAGAATGTTCTGGGGAACAATAAGGACGTCAAGTTAATTTGAAAGGACATTTGAAGTTTAGAATTCATGTTGTAGGCCACAAACAGCTATAAGAACCCATTGTCTGTTCTGTAGCCCAGGAGTAAAATGATGAAGACAGCATTTAAGGGAAGATTAATCTAGTTTTGATATGAAGGATGGATTAGAATCAGCAAAGACTAGTGCCAACCTGGAAGCATGAGATAAGGAAGGCCTGGTTAGAACTGGGCAAGGAGAAATGAGGAGGCAGACGCTTCTAAGCCAGGAGGCACACCATTGTTTGCATGAATTTAGAACTGAGGATGGAAAGCATAATAGAATGAAAGGGGTTGCCAGGCTTTTATAATGAAAGACCAGCAGAAAAGTTTAGTGGATCCTTAATATGAACCAAGTACTCAAGAAAAAGATGGTTTATTCCTTAGTTGGGGTTAATTGGCTTTTTCTTCACTACAGATATTTTTCATTTCCAGATCTGATTTCTAGGTCTTTTATGCAAAAAATGAAGCCGCTAAAATCAATACACAAACATATAGCAATTAAAGAAATATTTAATAAATCACACCAAGGGTTGCATTTCTTATTATCCCTGTGGTGCTTTACCTATCAGAGATTTTAGTTCTGAGGCAATGTATGCCAGTGAACTGCTGAAAAGTAATATTAAGCATGGAGCATTATTTTTGCTTTGTTGGATTTGCATTACGGATGTTGACAATTTAAATTGTCCCTTTTTGCGGAATTCCTTAATAATGACTGTCTGCATCCTGGTTCCCTGGACATCTGGGAGAAGAGAGAGCCAGGAAAGAAACATAATCTGGCAATTGTCACTGTGCCAACTCATCTTGCTGTACACATGTGCCACATTAATCTATTACTCAGATCTCCCCCTGAATTCAGAAAACGTCTGCATTCATTCCCTTTTGCTATAGACATTAGGAAAAAGAGATCTCTTTTTTAGTGACTGATTTAAAATATTATAAAGACCATCAAATTTAACCATTGTAGTACACTTTTAGCTTTCATACATCAACTTATCCTTGGCCATCGATTAAACTAGATCACTGATTACTATTGTGATTATTTTCAATGAAAATAATCAGTATTTAGGGTGATTTTTAGTAAGTAAATAATTATTTGGTATGCCTATACCACAACTTTAAAAAATCAAAGTACTTTAATATATAATAAATGTTAATATCTAAAATAAATATTGGTTATATAATAACTATGTTTAATATCTTCTATCTGCCCAGTATCTTATATTCTTGTACATTTTAATGACACTTCAAAATATTCATATGAAATGTTGCACATTATTTATTACACACTTGCATATTAGTGCACAACTATTATGCTACAAGTACATACCGTCAGTGGATGGGCCTGGGCTTTGGCAAGCATCAGGTTAGACATCAGAAACATGGGCTGTGGGGATACACTCACTGGTACAAGTGTATGTGAGGGGACACGCACAGGAGTGAATTTTAAGGACCAGTAAGTGCTACAATATATATAACCATAGATTTGGAAAGAAGAGTTTTGTTTCCTTGGTCTGCGCAAATACTAAATAACCTGGCAGCAGAAGTTAAAGTATTTATACATCACACCAGATGGGTCAGAATACTAGTAAGGTGGGTAATGTTTGCAATGAATTCTCTGACACTGTTTGTTCATTAGAAGTTTTATATGGCCCTTGTCCTATAATAGTTCTTAGTATAAAAAAGTATTTAGTCAAAAGTTGTTTCATTAAAGACATTTAACAATAGAAAAAAAGTGAATTTCTGGAGTGATATCATTATGCTATCAATAAAATTAAGTCCAGTGCTGATCTTATAGTCTTAACTATTCATAGGACTAAAAAGATAACCAAAACATATTTATTGAGCGTTTAGTATGAGCTCACTTGTGTTCTCAAATCTTAGTGGGTGAAAAAGAATAATTAATTCATGAGTTTAATTTTATAGTTCATCAATAAAAAGAGTCACTTTTTGCCTATTGGCTTCTATCCCTAAACTTTGGGAATGGAAACACTCAGTGGCATGAAAACAAGGATATATTTCAAGCTGCATAGAGAATGATTTTGTTGGATTCATGGTAGTGGTACAGATGCAGAAACAATATTTCAACCTAATCACAGAATTTCAGAATTTTTAGAAATGGAATGAATAATAGTTCCCTTTTTACCAGGGATGGAACTAGTCCAAATGGGTAAATGACTTGCTTAGAATCAAAATGCAATAAAATTGAAAACTTTCAAGATTTCTAATTCCATGTGTAGCATACTGGTCATCATGCACTCTGTCTTCCCTTATCTTGCTTTTGAAAGCATGTAAGAGTAATATCAAACGGATTATATAATGCTTGCTATGCGCCAGATTCTGAATTCTTACACGTAGGAATCTATGAGATAAGTACTATTACCCTCATTTTAAAGACATTGAAACTGACACGTAATGAGGTAAAGTAATTTGTCCAAGTTCACAAAGCTATTGAGTATTAGAGCTGAGAATCAAATCCAGACAGTCTGGCTCCAAAAATTTACATACGTTTTTAATAAGCTGTGTTTCAGATAAAGACCTAGGCGTTGCCTCTCTTTGCCCTCTCCCTCTCTTTCTCTCTTAGGGACACAGAATAGAATTAATCATAATCCTTGATTTATGATATGCTTTCATTATTTGTTCATAAATGTCTACTTTTATTTGTTTAATTAGTTCTAAAATCCTTGAATATAGTCTTTTTTTTCCCCTTGCACTGTTAACTATTAGAATATCTAGTGCTTTACTTGTATTTTGATTTGGATTCAGAAAAAGAACATTAGATCTTTTTACCTCCTTCTGTCTTAGTACTTCTTACGCTGTACCTCTTGAGTCCTGCCTCATAAGCCCCTTGAGTTCAGGCATGTGTCTCTGCATCCCTAGTGCCTACCTTATATGCCTAGCATATAGCAAGCATTCAATAAATATTTGATGAATGAATAAAAGATCTACCTAACTTTTTGGTCAAAGATCATCCTATTTACTT